AATGAGAGCTAGATGTTCAAGACCTTTATGTCTATTCAGGTGTCCCAAAAACTGCATTTGTCGTTTCCTGACTGTTTTTAACAGTAAGCGTCCAGCGTGAGCTTCATCAATCACTACCTCAATTGATTTCTTTTCCTGCCCGATTGCACCCAAGATAATTACGTGTTCTGACTTAAATGTTCGCCATTTGTCAGGAATGTGAGCTATGTCTTTTTTTTTTAAATATGCTCAAACTGTAGCGTTTATAACATGAAAGTAGTGAAAGGTACCCTCTGAACCAATAACAAGATGACAGGCTGCATTTCGCGAAACCTTTTCAGTGAGTGTTATTATTTATTTTTTACTTTCCAATGCAAATATTGTTTGATTTCGATTTTGAAAAGAAGTTAAAAATATGATAGTTAAATAGCTTACTACCAATTAAGATAAGATTCAATAAAACGAAAGTTTTGTAGAATTATTTCAAGAATAAGCGAAATTTATATACTATATTATTCGCAGAGTAAACGACGTGCAGAAGAAAGAAAAGAAAAAACATTCACACCTAAAAACTTTGTGCTGCTTTCTTAACCCCGGTAATGAACTCCTGCACTTCATTAAAACTTGTTCAATACTGTGCGGGTACCTATTAAAACACTGACCTCCTCGTGTAATTGTGACAATATGAATAGCAAATTGAAATAATCCAAATAAATGAACTGTCAGGCCCGATCAATGTTTGCTTTCTTCTTGTTTCTTGGTTATTATTTCAATTAGACGGAGGCTTCGCTTCACATGACTTTAATTGTTTTGATATACATTTTAAATTGATTGATGGTTCTTTATTCACCCAAACACACACACACACACACACACACACACACACACACACACACACACACACACACACACACACACACACATACATACGCACGACAGACACACAAATGAATTTGTAATAAAAAGATGTACTGATATACAGTGAACTGGTATTGGACCACACATGAATACCGAGCGAGAGACAAAGAAAAAGGGAGGGAAGATAGATAGAGAACAGCTTAAACCTTCTTTTTTTAAATTCTGAAGTTCGCGGGTACATATACAGGTATATATAAAAATTGAATTATGTATTACTCTTTTTTAATTTTTTTTTTTTTAAATCACAAGAGGACTATTTTCTTGAACCAGTTGAGTGTGTGTGTGGGGGGAGGGGGGGGGTGGTTCTGACTAAGTATTACATGTATAACGCTACGTTTTTAATAGAAAACGGTAAAAATGTCATAATGATTGCGCTTGTGTGATATCTTAGGTTAGGTCTTCTTTGCTGAAAAATCAGGAGTAAGGGGGGGGGGAGGAGCAGAATGATATACAGTCACGTCTAGTGGAATATGGCCTGGCAGCCCTCTTCGCACTTCGTGACGTACGGTCAAAGTGCTTGTCAGAGCACAATTTTGGATCTACACACACAATAAGGATAAGATAAGATAAGATAAGATGCATCTTTATTGCATCATTTTGAATTTTGCCCGGATGGCGGCTGAAGCCTACTCTTGTTGATTTTAGAACCACCAAGGGATCATTAACGTGAGCAGCTTGTACACCGGACCTCCGAAATTTTTCACCTTTATCCGAGAAGGCTCGGTGTTAAATCTTCCTTCGATAAGATCAGGGGTGTGGGTGAAGGACAGACGTAAGGAGGAGCCAAAGAGTAGCAGTAGAAAGGCTGCAGAAGCTAGTCAGGAGCCCAGACGAGAAGACAAAGGAGGTGAGGGGATGGGGACAGAAAATGGAGACGAAATCAGTCAACAGAACATTGTTAGAGAGGTCAAAGGACAACATTTTAGAGCAGAAAATTTTCCGTTGTTTTCCGGATTCGAACCTCGCACCTTTTGAATGAGAGGCGAACACCGTAAGCTCTCGACCACGAGAGTTCCCTATAAATACTTTAATTAAGATGGCCAGATAGGGAAGGAAGATCCCGAGGAGTTATAATATAGATAATAATCCTTCTTTGAGGACTTCAGTTCTAAAATCAAGTTATCAATTAGTAATCAAAGTAAACGAATTACAATGTTTTTTTAAATGCAGTTCTTTAGACTCGACATCAGGGGTCTCTCGTGGCCTAGAGGTTACGATTGTTTGCCTCTCATTCAATATATAGGTCCCAGGGTTCGAAACCTGACAGAGACGAAACATTTTCTTCTCTAAAAATGGTCTCCTTTCACCTCCTTTCTTGTCCCTCTCCTACCATGTTCTGTCGTTGTGTGCTTTCGTCTCCACATTCTGCAACCGCCCCCCCCTCCATTTTTTTTTTGGGGGGGGGGGGGTTGCCTCCTCCTCTGGGCTCCTGACTCTTTCTGCAGTCTTTCTACTGCTACTCCTTGACTCCTTCTTACTGTATCTCAGCCACGACCTTGATCTTAGGGTAGGGTAGCCTTCTCGGAAAGGGGCGAAAAACTCTCGGAGGTCCGGTGTGCATGTTGCGCACGTTAATGATCCTTTGGTGGTCTTATATCGATTAAAATAGGCTTCGGCTGCCACCGGAACAAAGTTCAAAATTTCAGGCAAACTAAAATTGTTCAAATTTTAATGTGTCCAGCGCTCACAGGACTTCATGCAATTGCAAGCGCCATAAAACACTTACCCCAAAAAGTAAAAGACTTCCAATCAAGTTTGCTGGGTATTTATGTATTTATTTATTTATTTATTTATTTATTTATGAATTTATTTAGGCCTACATATTTAATAAATTTTATTTGTTACAATTTTACAGCAAAAGCAACACACGTGAACAAGCTTTAAGATGTTACAATAAAAACTTTATAAAAGTATGCCCAAAATAAATCTACAAGCGCCTGATTTCCCTGTGTCGTGAGACATTATTATTGGATGGCAACAGGAAAACGATGCACTGTGGTTCCTGATTTAACGATCCAATATCGTGCTGAGATCGAATCAAAGTCAGGGCAATGACCGTAAACCAGTGAGGGCTAGAGATTACTCTGTTGACTGTGCACTGTCACCCAGAATTAGATTCCGCCTTTTCACGGAGTTTGTTCCAGTTATCATGAAACACTTGATGGAGGACATAACATTAAGTAAAATGTTCAAAACATTCATAACTAAGACTGTGTCAAGGAAGAAGAGGAAGCAGTTATTTTGTCTAAAACTTTTGAGTCGAAATAAATCGATTTTGGATTCGTAAGAGATTGCCTTAGCAGTAATGCGGGGAATAAAATGTTCAATGTGCACTATACATACATGTATTATTATTATTATTATAACTATTGTATTTTTACTGTTATTATTATTATTATTATTATTATTATTATTATTATTA